CTTGTCATCACTGTTCCATCTTCTTCTCTTTTATGTAATATGTTATCTATTTTAATAGCTAATTCTGAAATTTCATCTACCGTCTCAAACTTGTCTCGCACCATCTGAACTTGAATTTCGGGCTTGAGTCCTTGTAAAAACTGAGTAATTAATATACTAGCCGGCCATCCCACAATCAACGCCAAATCATTGAAACGAAGAGAATACGCCAATACCGTAGTTGTTTGCTTAAGGGCACGTATAGCCTTCTCTGCTTTAGCAACCCGCTCTGAATCATAAAAGGTTGCTTTGAAAGAATCCGAAAAACCATCCCAAGTTATGACTTCTCGCCCTTCCAATAACTTCTGCGTCCAGGGCTTCGCCCATTCCCCTCCTTTACCAGTCATGTACGACAAGGTCCATCCGATTTTTGTTCTGTCATCCGGAAACTGAGTTGGGTTCATGAGAATATAAATGCCGACTTGATTTGCGAAGATTTCGGCCTTGCTCCCCCTCGTACCGTCAAACTTATCTGGCGTTGCCACTTTAGGAGCTTTAGGTGCGGCTGGAGGGTTGCTTACTGGGGTTACAGTCGCCGACGTCGCTGGAACTGAGGCATGAGAGGTTTGCTGGTGACGCAAAGCGGCGAGTTCTCTTTCGGCTTCAGCTCGGCCTTGTTCCGCAGCTTCTCTTTTCCTCGTTTCTTCATCTAATTTGGCATCCATAGCCGCAAGTCGAGCTAGGATTTGTGCTAAGGGGTCCCCGTTTCCAGACATTTCATGTGTAGGTTCCATCTCCTCGGATTCGAACCTGACAGAATCTGCCGACTTAAAGGAATCGCTAGGGCTGGAGTTGCTAGTGGTGCTGTTACTCCGACTGCGGGGTACAGTATAGTTCGGCGTGTTGGCGTTGGAGATTTGAGATCGATCGATATAGTTTGGTTGAAGCGGTCTTAAGAAGGATTTTCCGTTTCAAGATGAATGGTATACTATGGATAAGGTTTTAAGCTTTGAATCGTCTTCTAACTTTAATGAATCAAGGTTTGTAAATCTTCTGCTTTCTTAACTTTAATTAACTTCGGCTTTTGAACTTTCTTCTTTTTCTTTTAGATTCTTCTTTGTCGATTGTTTCTTCTTATTGAATTATCTCTCTGACGTCCAATGTATAAAAGATGCTTCAATGTGTTATGAGCTTCACAGGTATCAGAGATCAGAGAGAAGGTGATCTGATAATATAACTAATATTGAAGCATGGGGTTGTACACTCTGGAGTGCGCGTATCTAACTAACAACGCTCTACTCAATACAAGCATAACTCCTTATAAGGATCACAACATGGTATCAATGGAAATAGTATTATTAAGAGCCAAAGCCATGGGTATGACAATATCTTTAAAGAAATGTCACTTTGGTTTTGAAGAATGTAAAGCCCTAGGCCATCGAGTATCAGGATTATGGGTAGCAGTAGACCAAAACTCTGTAGCAGCAGTACTACATAAACCTTGCCCAAAAGATAAGCAAGAATTGAGTTCCTTCTTAGGATTTACAAGCTACTACAGAGCTCACATTCCAAACTTTGGAATCATTACTCGTAGCCTTTACAGACTTTATGCTAAAGGTGTAGTCTTTGAAATGACAAAGGAAAGAATTGATGCAGTGAATAAAATAAAACAAATACTTACAACCGCACCAATTTTATTTCATCCGGACTTTGAGAAACCTTTTAAACTTTACGTTGATGCATCAATTGAAGGTTTAGGAGCAGCACTCCATCAAACACAGATAATTGATGGGAAACCAAAAGAAGGTCCAATTGTCTTTATATCTAGAAAATTGACTGATACTGAAAGTAGATATTCTTCGCCCCAGCTAGAAGCCTTAGCACTAGTCTGGGCATTAGAAAAATTACACTACTACCTTGATGGTAGCTACTTTGAAGTCATAACAGACTGTACTGGAGTAAGATCACTGACAAATCTCAAATCTCCAAGCAGACACATGTTAAGGTGGATGATGGCAATACAAGAGTATAAACCATTTATGACAATTACTCATAGACCAGGAAAATTCCACAACAATGCTGATGGACTTAGTAGAATGGCATTACCAAATGATTCCAGTAATCCAGCGTGGGAACCTGAAGAAATGGAAAGAGACATTCCGGTGATGGGAATCAGTTTATGTGAATTGTCTGAAGAATTTTTTGATGAAGTAAAAGCTAGTTATGAAAAGAATAGTAACACAGCTAAACTTACCAGAATATTATCTGCACAGAATACTAATCTGAGCCTATCAAGTACACTTGAACAACCTTGGAAAGATGGACTAACTCAAGGAAAATTTCACTTGAGTCTGACCTACTATATTTTAGAGAAAAACATACTGCGGTGTTAGTAATAATGACTACTGAACATATTCAACAAACATTACATGTAT